ACGTACACGTTTTCGCGTTTAAAACTTCGGCCTCAACCTCGCTATTTTCTAAATCGGGTACCACGGATAATAAATCCTTCTCCTTATACACCACGATCTTGTCCTAGTATATACCATCTTTAAATGCATGAAAGCCATTTCTAAATAATAAATATCTTCCTTTAAAACTATCCTTCCAACAAATTGATTTTTATGGAATAAATCATTAACTACAGAACGTTCGTCTCCTTTAAGCTCTCGTTATTAGAGAGGTTGAGGCGCACGTTTTAAACGTGTAAACGTGTACGTGTGACGTTCGGCGCCGCTTTCCCGTAAGCCTAAAAGTTTGACGATGGTGTTTGGAATGTCGAGCGTGATTCCACCGACTATCCAAACACCATTGTAAAACTTTTAGGCTTACGGGAAAGCGGCGCCGAACGTCACACGTACACGTTTACACGTTTAAAACGTGCGCCTCAACCTCTCTATTTATATAATTATCGAATATTTCGTACCACGAAAATGGAACTACTTAAAACAACTTTTAAACTTTAAATTTATTTTTTATATTTATTATACATGACTATATTTTATAAATTATTTCTCAAATTATACTGATGTGTAAACATAATTCTGGGTTTAATCACGCTTCCTGCCGATGTCTCTCTAGAAGTCCAATTTGAAAATAACTGGAGTATCGATAATTTAAAATGTGTTCCTGAAATATATATATATATATACAGTATTTACTTACAACACCTCTAGTCATAACTATCATGTGTTCATCATTCGTACAAATACAATTAATTGTCAAACCATAGCTTTTATATTAATTAAAATTAAATTACATCATTTCTATTACTTGATAATGGAATGAAATTAAACTCGATGAAATTCTCATAAAAATTGTCTACAAGATATCAATTATCTGGAAGACTTCTTCCAATTGTATACAAATTATATACGATTTTATCATATTCCGAAAGATATAGAACTTTTTTTACACACAAATCATCAAGTGTTTATAGAGCAACGATCGTTATAAGATGCGAGAAGTTGGAATTTATTCGAGAATTTACTGTTTTATCGTTACTCGAGATAAAACTTAAATATTCGTATCAATCTATTCTTAACTGATTGAAGAATCTTCAAATTTATATGTTGTTGATCCTTATTCCCTATTCTCAGCCTTGGTCAATACGTTTCTTCCATTCCATTCTAATTCCGAATTAATTCTCGATTAATTTATCCGTTATCCATGCTGTAAACAAAAATGTCGACGGTACTGAAAGAAGGGAAATAGAGTTTACAACATGAAAACTTATTAGGATAATTGCTAGATGATAAAGGACAAAGTTCAATTGGTTGAACTATGTTACATGTCGTGCGATTTCTGTGCCATTTCCAATCAAACGACAAAAACTACAAGAGTTTCATTATTGTGATTAAAACAGTCTTTTAAAATATTTGACAAAATATATCAAAATTTGCACTCCAAATCGGGAAATAGAAGACGATGGAGTGGAGCATTATCCTATGGACAAAAAAAAAAAGACAATTTTTTGGGGAAAGTCTTTTATAAGAACATATTCCCTCAAAAATTCCCTCGAAGAAAAATGTCTAAAGTCAACCCCTAATTCAAAATTGCCTGGTCCCATAAAAATAAATACCTATTATATTTATCACTTAATCTAATTTTAATTAAATAACAGATAATAATAATAAGAATTTAATTAAAATACAAAATTTACTTAAATAGGTGCTTCCATCTAATGAGAAAATTTTCGTTACTGAGATTCTAAATAAAATTATAAATAAAATATAAAATTTTAAATCAATTAATTTAATTTAACATATAAAATTATTACCGAATTATTTTATATAAAAATATAAACTAATAATTTAATAAATTTACTCATCCACTTCAGTAAGTTGTATATATAGGCCTATACAAGACGAAGGTTTTTTAAAGCTTGTTAACTTTTAATTAAAAGTTCAGAAATCCAATTATATCAATTTATTTTATATTAGGAAGTTAAAATTTCTCATAAATATCCTTCATTTTTGTTATATAAAATAATTTTTTTAAACAATTAATTATTCAAAATTCATTCATTAAATGTTGAGAAAAGTTTATATATATATATATAATTGTTTATTTACAGCATTGCTTTTAAATTGCAACATTAAA